ACTGTTGGACAGTGAAATTGACCATGATCAAGCAGAGAAAAACACTCCTATTTATACCCCATCCGTGGTATCTGATTGCAATGATTGAATTCCTGGTAATTAATCCGATAATATAAGAACTCTTTGAATGCGCGCGAATTAGAAATATAAAGTAACGATGTGTAATTATTACCAATAAAGCTGGATTACATGTAAAACGGCCGATGTGTTAAAATTTCACAAAATTTGGGTTGTTTGATCATCAAAATCAAAGTAAAACGTGTGAAAAAGCGGTGTAATTACTGAAACAAATTAGGACCCATCTGATGATCGCTGTTTGTTCTGTCTATCGTGAAGAAGATGACCCAGAAATTGGTAAAATAGGGTAGAGTTTCTACTATATATATATATATATATATATATATATATATATATATATATATATATATATGTGTGTGTGTGTGTGTGTGTGTGTGTGTGTGTGTGCCTGTATGATAAAATATAGTTTTAAGTTACGCTGCATTTATGGGATAAAATGCTGAACATCACGGATAGAGCGTATGTACACATGAAAGTGGACATACACATTTTACACACACACATATATATATAAATATATATATATATATATATATGTGTGTGTGTGTGCGTGCGTGCGAGTGCATGTGCGTGCGTGAATCCGTGTGATATACAATCAGTTTCATGTACCATTTACATTAATTAACTTTACCCTGCAAATATTTCATAAATATACCAGCTGAAAAATATGGACAGGCTCATATGAGAAGATAGAGATTTTCTCAAACAGAAACATAGAAACACAAATTTGTGTTTCAATATAATTATCGACGGATAGGTAAAATGGGAATAGTCATATATATATATATATATATATATATATATATATATATATATATATATATATATATATATATATGTGACTATATGAAATATAGAAACATAAATTTGTGTTTCAATATAGTTATCGGCGAATAGGTAGAATGTCAATTGTCATATATACATATATATAAAGTTCTCTATTACTCACGTTTGAATTCGGAAAATTATTAAAATCTTGTTTGGTTTTTGGAGAACAATATCTGAAATGGATTCTGTGTTTGCATACGTTTATATTGGCTTCATAACGCATATATTTTATTATTGTATGGGTTCATAATTACTCCGTTGTGTCATCTGCATGAATCTGCGCAGGCGCAGCATGGCCAACTAATATGAATATGTTTCACGGACCGTGAAAAAATCCAAATAGTGTTCAGCCACGTATGAAATAGTCATAGCTTTTCCTGCTGTTTGAACCTTTTAACACAAATTCTTTTCACAGATATATATATATATATATATATATATATATATATATATATATATATATATACTGAAAAACTGTGAAACGTCAAGTGGCGAAGAGACCGGAGATGCATGCATTTAGAAGCACCCCCATATATATATATATATATATATATATATATATATATATATATATATATATATATATATATATATATATGAAAGTGTCGTTGCAAACAACTGGCAAGGTTTGATGCTTGAGATTTTTTTTATATAATTTCTCATGTCTTAATTTTTTTTTCAGGACATAAATTCTATAAAAATTGTCCGAAGGATGAATATTATTTTACTTTTAACTCAATATATGTATTGTTTTATGTATTTATCTAGAGTTATAAGAATGTTTTATTTTCCAAACACGGTCAGCACGTTGTAACCGTGTTCATAGTCGATATTACTGAGTGTTGGCTTTTTCTTTTTTATTAATAATGCTTCCATTACTTTTAGCCTTTTTGTATATGTGGATGATGCAATTATATCTGGATTATGAACGACTATGTTTCGGATAAAGTTTGGTTCGTGTGTATTTAAATGAGACCTGATTGGGTCAGATATGTAACAGGAGTCTTCTTGTTAAATACGTTTTAGTATATCCAATATAATTATTTACAAATTAGGATTGTTCAAGAATACACCTCCTTTAGGAACATGTAAATTCGTAAATAATATTGTTTCTCTGTAAAGTAGATCTTGCAGCTGAATTATTATTTTCGACAATGTGGTTAGCGGTTTTAAATATTTTGTAATAAATGATTAATTATTCATTTAATTTTCTTGTTTTTGTCAACTGGAATTTTGTATTTCTTTATGATGTTTCTTGTTTTGTTTATATATATATATTTATTGTTATAATTAAAACAATTGTAGTACAAGGCGAAATGGGGAAAGGCTGATCCACACTTTCTATCCTAGATAAAGCTCATCTGATTCACGAACCGTTCATTCATTACAATTTCCTCATTCAACACAAGAACTAATCCCTCATCATTCAATACTACATATAGAACAATACCACAAATTCACAGGGAACCTAAATCACCCATGATATAAAATTTCAATATGTATAAATAGTTCAAATATCTCTCTTTTTCTATATTTTTATATATATAAACTATTTTTCTGAGCTTTTCACTTTGCTATTGGTTACCTTAGAAAGAAAACTTAATATGGTAATCTATAAAATCGTTAAGAGAACAAGCAACTTCACGTCCTTGGCATGAAGATAACCTACATCCGGATCCTGGGTAAGACGATAAACTACGTCCGACAGCAAGACCTCTGATCAGGAGGTTTTTGAAAGCATGGAACCATTTCTTAATTGCTGGTGTTCCCAGGTCCAGCTATAAGCAAATAGTTAACCCCTAACCTGGGGTCAAAATACCATGAAAGTTTAAAAATAGGTTTTAATAATAGAAAAAAAAAATATTTTAAAAAATAATTACCAGCAATGTATTATTACCAGCAATATATTTTTTAAAAAAATATTACCCGCTGTACGTTTTTTGAAAAAAAAATATTACCAGTAATTTATTTTTGAAGAAAAAAAATATTACCAACAGTACATTTTTTGAAAAAAAAATTACCAGCAATAAGTAATTTTGTCGGCATTAAATAACCAATTAAGGTTAAAATGCGTAAACCAAACTAAAAGAGCGACTTCGAAGTTTCGTGAACACATTACAGTAATGCATACCCTCTTCAGAGAAGACAAAAACCCTGAAGGTAATAGCGTTACTGCAATGCGCTCACGAAACTTCGAAGTTGATATGACTGAACCATCAACACTCAGTTAAGTGATAGGTTTATCCACATTAATTCTGCATATATATATATATGTATATATATATATATATATATGTGTGTGTGTGTGTGTGTGAATGAAGAAAAAGAAAAAAATATTTACCAACGTCTCTGTGTAAAGTTGTCTTTATTTTTATAGTTTTTACAGGTATATTGTATTTAAAACTGAATATTTAAACTGGCGTAAGCCTTCGCGCATTTACACACACACACGCACACATACATGCTTACGGCCACATCACGTTGAAACATTGGTTAAGCAACGTCTCGTCTGGTCAGTACCTGGATGGCTGACCGCTTGGGAATATCGGCGGGTGTAAGCTTGTATGCGTGGGTGGTGTATTTTTCTTTTCTTTCTTTACTTTTATGTTCTGTATTAATAATGTTCGGTGCATTTCTTGCATCATTTGATTGTAACACACGAAAAAAATATCCATGAATATCTGGATTCTACTAAAAATAAGGATGCATAATGTTTTTAATTTATTTAATCAGAGACACGCATGCACACACACACACACACACACACATATATATATATATATACACGTACACACACACAAACACACACACAGACACACACACACACATATATATATATATATAAATATATATATGTATATATATATATATTGTAACCCGGATATAAGAGACCCAGATATAAGAGAAACCCGGATATAAGAGATTTTCTCTGGTCCCAAATTAGAGCCTGTGTTAATGCATATAAAATAGACCAAACCGGATATAAGAAACCCGGATATAAGAGACTTCTTCTCCGGTCCCGAAAACTCTCTTATATCCGGGTTACACTATATATATATATATATATATATATATATATATATATATATATGAAGTCAATTTTAAAAAAATATAAAATTGATATGTTATAATGGACAAATCTATACGTTTAAGTTACTACTGTTACCCAGTGGATCATAATAGTAAAAGTAAAGACGCTTTTTCTTACATTTTCACCCTCAGTATCCACGGGAAAAACCGCGGTATCGATATCCTTTGTTTTTGTTTTATTCAATATACTTTAGTGAAAAGCATAAAGCAGAAATTGTTTTTGTATTTTCTCTTTATGAAAGTACATTGAGCACGCGTTTTTATTCACAAAACGCGTTTTTCTAGAAACATCAGGCGAATGGCTTTTGTTGTATTTCACACACACACACACACACATATATATATATATATATATATGATGCGGACATAGGTGTGTTTGTACTGAAGTGTTCGCGTCTAATATATTTCCATTTCAGAGACAATTTATGGTATTCTTCTTATTCACAGTTGAAAATATTTATCTCTTGCCAACATAATTGGCCATCTGTCGGACTTTGAGAAAACTGAGATTCTTCAGACGTCTCCATTTATCAATTGCATTTTTAACAATTTACTTTGATTTATTAGATACCCGGCACATATGCAACAATAATTTCATTACTAAA